TCACAACAGCGCTCATATCAGTAGGGGATCAATGCACTAATCCTCAGCTGATTGGAACTCACGGTGCCCATGTGAAAGGGGCCCTAGTGTCAATAATAACCACCCATTTTATGGTTTCAATTTTTGTAATGCGCTAGAAAAGACAGCTTTAATATAATCCTTTTTCTCCTTTTTTTAAAAACGCTTTTCTCTCTCTATGTATATATATTTTTTTTTTATACAGCCACACTGGGTAGACCTTATATAAAGTATATAATGGTTGCTTTGTGCAAGCCAAGTGTATCATTATTGTAGCATATACAGGGGCGTATCTGCCGCGAGGCAAACAAGGCGTTTGCCTCGGGCGGCAGATTCCAGGGGGCGAAACTCCAGGAACAAAAAAACTTTCATTCAAATATATTGCTCAACAGCTAGAAAAGATATACATTTTACTTTGTATGCACCTACTGCCTTTACAAACCGGGTTATAACTGGTGATTTCATCACTGTGTGCATATAGCCCGTGGTGGAACTACCACCGGTGCAGCCGCACCGGGGACTCAGTCTGGAGGGGCCCAGCCCAGTCCCTGTGCTTAAATGGTGGGACTTGCCGGCCGCCGGATAGCACCGGATCGGTATCCAGCGGGCCCCCAGTCTCTGCGCCGGGAGGGTTGGATCATCCGTTCATCCGACACTCCCAGCGAGAGATGGGGGGCCCGCCAGCCGCTGGATACTGATCTTAACATCTGACACTCCAAAATGGGGGTGCCCGCCCAGCGATATGCTGAAATGGGGGAGCCCGTCCACCGGCCTAGATAGTATGGGGCCCGCCGGCCGCTGTGAGGAGGGAGTCGTGAAACAAGGAGGCACTGAAGACGGCCCTGCAGGCACATCATGGGGCAGCCATGGGGCCTCGGACGGCAGTGAGTATCCAGCAAACAGAACACACACAGGAAACAACTGAAGACAGCAGAGGTAAGGGTAAATAATTCATTAAAATAATGATTATTTGTAGCCTAATGTTGTATAAAGTACTGTTGCAGCAATGCAGAATGGCACCCTTTATAGAGGACTACAAATCTCAGCAGTACTTTATACAGAAATGCTATTGTTATATAAAGTATTGCTGGGATGTGTAGTTCTCTATAGCCTTTGCCATACTGCATCGCTGTAAATATTAGGGACGCATATTGGGGGAGGGGTAAGGGCAAAAAAAAAATCTTGCATGAGGGCCCTTTGTTCCTTAGGTCCACCACTGCATATAGCCTGTGCAGAAAGGAGCTATGGGAGGGAACCAGCAGGCCAAACCCTCTGTATGCTGCCTGCAGAAAATTGCAGGAGGGGGCGGATACATGACCAGTCACCCTGCACAGGAAGGAAGAACAGCAATGACCAGTCTTTATTACAGGGAGCTCCTGCACAGAGGAAATGTTTCACCCTGGATTACTCCACAAAACCAGGAAGAAATACACAAACCCCAACATCATTCAACTAAGAATGCACACGACTTTTGTATTTAGACAACTTTTGCTTATCCCGGAGTTTAGCTGTAAAAATGCCATGCTCATCCAGCTGCCTATAAAAAACTGCAGTCTAAACTCTCACCAAAAACAGTTTTTGCATACTTACACAGTAAAAATAAATTACCACTGATGAAGTGTGCCCCATCTCCGCCTGCTGCAGCATTGGTTGAATCTCTGCAGCCCACACTCGCCTGGCACTGAACATCTGACACTGGGCTTACAAGTTCTGGCTGTAGTACACTGATCACAGTGGGTTGCTTGCGTTTCACCACCCTCCATTCAGAAAAAGGCTTGCATTCTTTTCACACAATGCAAGGCGTTCTGTGATTGGAGGTGTGGATGAACGTCACAATCTCCCCTCCTCCAATCACAGAGAGATTGTATGGTCGGATTGTAATGTGTACGGTGAGCCAAAAGGGAGAGAGAAGTGATGACTTGCTGCCCTCTGGAGATGCGTTAAAAAATTAAATGAAAAATTATTATTATTTTTTGTTATTATTTTGCAAGCTGCAGAGTAGCGGTAAAGCTCCACAAGGGGCTGCTGTTAAATGTACACATGCAGTTAAACGTACCCATGCAGTGGGGTCCCCCTGCATTGCATAGGTTATATGCTTGTTTGGCTAGGGGGCAGGCTTCCTTCTCTCTGTGTGAAGCTGTTTCACTTTGCTGCCCAGCTATTTGCAGCTCTCTGACTTCATCGTGTACAATGCAGGACCTGCAGTCCTGCATGTAGATGATAATGGTGAGGGTCTACCCACATTCTGGAGTGTCTGACAGTGGAGTAGAGTTCCAGCTTTTGGGAGCCCACATTCTGGAGCACTTGACAGCAGAGGAGAGTTCCAACTGCTGGGAGCCCACATTCTGCAATGTTGGGCAGAGGAGGAGAGTTCCGATGGCCAAGAGCCTACTTTCAGAGGAACTGGACAGCGGAGGAAAATGCCGGCTGCCCACATTCTGGAGAGTTGGACAGTGGGAAGAGTGCTGGCTGTCCATATTCTGGAGTTGTACAGCAGAGAAGACTGCCGGCTGCCCACATTCTGAAGAGATGGACAGCTGAGAAAATGCCAGCTGCACACATTCTAGAAGTTGGACAGCGGAGGAGAGTGCCGCCTGTCCACATTCTGGACAGTTGGAAAGCGGGGAGAGTGCTGGCTGCCCACATTCTGGAGAATTGGACAGTGCAGGAGAGTGCTGGCTGCCCACATTCTGGAGAATTGGACAGCGGGGGGAGATTCCCTAATGCCCACAATCTGGAGATTTGGACAGAGGGAGAAGAGTGCTAGCTGCCACATTTTGGAGAGTTGGACAGCAGAGGAGAGTGCTGGCTGCCCACATTCTGAAGAGTTGGACAGTGGGGAGAGTGCTGGCTGCCCACATTCTGCAGTGATGGACAGCGGAGGAGTGTGCAGATTGTAAGAATCCCACATTCTGGAGCCTTGGACAGCAGAGGAGTGTGCATGCTGTCTGGAACCCATATTCTGGAGCCTTGGACAGCAGAGGAGTGTGCATGCTGTCTGGAACCCATATTCTGGAGCCTTGGACAGCAGAGGAGTGTGCATGCTGTCTGGAACCCATATTCTGGAGACTTGGACAGCAGAGCAGTGTCGGCTCCAGGGACTCACATTCTGGAACGTTGGACAACAGAGGAAAGTCCTGGCTGCCCACATTCTGGAGAGTTGGACAGCAGAGGCGTGTGCAGGCTGTCTGAAACCCACATTTTGGAGCTTGGACAGTAGAGGAGTGTGCATGCTGTCTGGAACCCACATTCTGGAGAGTTGGACAGCGGAGAAGAGTGCCAAGAGACCACATTCTGTAGTGATGGACAGCAGGAGTGGGCAGGTTGTCAGAATCCCACATTCTGGAGCCTTGGACAGCAGAGCAGTGTCAGCTGCCGGGACTCACATTCTGTAGTGTTGGACAACAGAGGAAAATGCTGGCGGTCAAGAGAGCAGGGAATAAAGTATTAGAACGTATCCTTCCCCCCCAGCCAAACTAGCATTAAACCATGCAGTGAGGAACCCCAGTGCATGGGTAAATTTACCAGCAGACCAAAAGAGGCGTTATAGTAATTTTTCTGTAAAAAAAACAGCCTGCAAAGCAAAGGAAGGCTCTTGACACATGTCTAGAGGGTTGCAAGTCACCCCTTGAGTCAATTTGCCATCAGCCATGAGAGGGCCTTTAAACAATAGGCCATAAAACAACATGAATCTACTAAAGAGCTTGGTATATTGTTTTGCTCTACAATGCTATGATCTTGGCTTATCTGTCACAAATTAGGGGACTTCCATGTTACGATTAAAGCCACTGAACTCCATGTGAGTTGCTGAAACATAATGAGCCCCTGTCATCCCTGAGCCCTAGCCTGGTGTGAAGCATTATATGGCCACAGACAAATTGTCAGCAGTACAGGTTAGAGCCTGCACCTAAGCACCCTCCACATCCTTCCTTCCTTTCACACCTCTTTACTAATTAATGCTAGCTGCTTTTTTTTATCTTGGCTCCATTGATGCTGTCTGCTCCCTCATTGATGCTTGCCACTTTTCAAGCCCTGTTCTCACTTTCCACCTCTCCTCTTCTATCACCTGTTTCTGGGCTACAATCCACGCTGCTGCTTTGTTACTTTTCAGTGTACCCTTCCAAACCCGAAGAGCAGTATAGAAATCCCCCTTTCTCTCCTTCTTTCTTCTCTCAGCAGACCCCCCCCCTTCACTCCTGCGCTGTGTTATGTCTATGGCAGCAGTGGCGGCTCCAGTGCGCATGCGTGGCACCGCTGCCAGCTACCGGCTGTAGTGTAGTGAGCCAAGGAGAGAGAAGCAGACAGATAGGCAACGCTCGCTGCCATCGTCTTCTTGCCCTCCACCTCCTCCTGATCCTCCCTCTCTGTTGGTGAGGGCAGCACAAATAAATCTTAAAGGAGGAGAAAAAAAAAAAGAGGCTGCCCCAACCCCTAGGCATGGCCAGCTCGGTGAGTAGAGGGGGTGGAACAAACCTTTTCCTTTAATGCAACCTTCTGCAGACCGGCTCTGCCTGCAGTCACGGCACTGCCATCTATGTATCCCCGCTGTTAACTTCAACCTGGATCGTGGTTTCCGCTGCACTTGCTGTAAGGGAGGACGCTTGCGCTAGAAACGATGGGATCGCCTGGAGAAGTAGCTGGGTATATGGACCGGCACCGTACAGTGATAGCGAGCCTGCACTGACGATCGAGCACAAGCCATAGGAGGGGCATCACGATGTGTACTGGCATGATCTGAGAGTTTGGGGATTGCTCAGGGCACCAACCCTGCACCGTGGATCGCCGGCACCTGAAAGCATGTATCTGGATTAAAAGGAAGCCCCGGCGGTTGCACACCGACAACCGGATCGTCATCTGGATTGCATGGTTTACTTTGGCGGAAAAGCCGCAGCTGGAGTTGTGCATTTAGACAGGCTGCTAGGAGGGGATGCGGAGTGGATTGTGATTAAAGCACCTGCAAGGGAGGAGGTGGTGGACCGAGACCTGGATCCGGGGAAAGGTGGATCTCGGAGCTTGGCTGAGCCCGCACAATAAAGGCAGCCCGGACTTCCAGGAGCCACTGCTGCCGGAGCTGAACGAGGCGCCGCTAGCATGGTGCGTTCACGTCCTGGCCACACACTGGTTAAACCTTGCCAATGACAGCCTCCCCCTAAGCATGTCACCCCAACACCCACCTCAATACCATTGATGCTGGGTGCCCCTTGCTGCTTTCTACCCATCATCGCACCTAGACAGCTCTCTTCTGACAGGCTTTTCTCCTATCTATAATTGGATGGAATGGTCTGTGTACCTGGGAACCCATCTCTTATAGGTGTTCTGGGATTAGCTTGATGATCTAGAATTGTTGGCTTGTATGTCAGTCGCTCCTTCCATAAGGAGATGCAGTTTAATTCAGAGAACCTAGTGTGTGTGTGTGTGTGTATAAAAGAAAGAAATACATGTCTGACCCCCCCCCCCCTTCCCCTCCTATGAATGTTCTGAGGTTAGATTGATGATCCTATTGAAGGCATGAATTGTTGGGGTGTTCTCAGTTACAGCTCCCATACAAATATACGGTTTTCATTTAGTGATTTTAATCTAAAATACATATTATATTTTTTTTGTGTGGCTGTGACTGGATGGAATAGTCTTTGTACCTGTGAACCCCTCTACTATGGATGTTCTGAGGTTAGGTTGATGATCCTGCTGCTGAAAGCATGAATTGTTGGGGTGTATTCAGTTACTTCTCCAATAAGGATATGCAGTTTTCATTAAGGGATCTTAATCTAACATAGGTATTTGCCGTGTGTATATATTACTGGATGGAATGGTCTGTGTACCTGTGAACCCCCCCCCCC